GCTGGGATTGCCCTGGGGGCTGTGCCAGGACCACCTGACAGCCCTGCAAGAGTTGGGACCTGCCAGGCTCAGCCCCGGGGATCTAAAGCTGAAACTTCAGGTTTAGGTGGGATTTTGGGAAAACTCCCTCCTGGGAAGGGTTGCCCAGCCCTGGCAGGGGTGGATCCCCATCCCTGTGGGATTTAACAGCCCTGTGGATGTGGCACTTGGGGACACGGTCAGGGCTGGGGGATGGTTGGATCATCAAATCTTAGGGACACTTGGAGAGCTGGAGAGGGACCTGGGACGAGGGATGGAGGGTCAGGACACAGGGAATGGTTTCAAACTGGAAAAACAGAGATTTGAGTGGGATACTGGGGAGGAATTCTTCCCTGTGAGGGTGGGGAGGGGCTGGGATGGAATTCCCAGAGAAGCTGTGGCTGCCCCTGGATCCCCTGGGAGTGTCCAAGGCCAGGCTGGACCTGGGCTAGTGGGAGGTGTCCCTGCCCAGGGCAGGGGGTGGCACTGGATGGGCTTTGTGGTCCCTTCCCACCCAAACCATTCCATGATTCCATGAATCCCTAAAAGGGAACACAGGCTGTGGTGACACGGAGGGGCTGAATTCCACCACTCCAACGGCAGGGCTGTGGAATGAGGGGATCCTTCAGGCCCCTTCCCATCCAAACCATCCCACAATTCCACGATTCCCGCTCCCTCCTTCCATCCCAACAGCGGGGAGAGGTTGGGAACCCCTGGGAGATCCAACCCCAGCCGGGTGCAGGTGCCTTTGAGCAGCTCCCCCTTCGCCCCGGGGGCGGTTTTGATTTAAATTCCAACTTCCAGGGCCTGCATTTCCAACCAGGGGCTTTTCCAGCAGCCCTTTTAATGAAGGGGGAGTTCAAACAGCACCCGGGGAGATCAAACCCAGGCCCCCGGACACAACCCCGGCTCTGCCTTCATTAGTCCTGCCTTGCCAGGGGCCTTTTACAAGCTGTTTATTTTCGGAGCCATGTGCTGGGAGGGGAAGCAAATCCCGGCACAGTGGGATGGATTTGCTTAAAGGGTTTATAGGGGGAGGGCTTGGCTTTTCCAGAGGGGGATAATTGGATGTGGAACGCGCCGTTCCCGGGATCTGTTGAACGTGAGGCGTGAAATGGGCACGGCTGGGATTCCTGTCTGCCTGGAGAGGCCCCTCTGGGAGCTGGGGAGTGGCTGGGATGGGGGGTTGGAGTGGCGGCATTGGGGGTTGGAGTGGCTTGGATGCTACGGGGTTGGAGTGGCTGGGATGGGAGGTTGGAGTGGCTGGGATGGGCGCTGGTGGGATGGGGGATGGAGTGGCTGGGATAGGGGATTGGAGTGGTTGGGATTGGGGGGCGATTGGATGGTGGATGGGGGAATTTGGGAGTGCTGGGTCATGGGGGATTGGGTGGTTGGGCATGGGCGGATTGGAGTCGGTTGGGATGGGAAGGGTTGGAGTGGGGATGGGGGATGAGTGGTATGGATGAGGATTGGAGTGGCTTGGGATGGGAGGTTGGAGTGGTGGGATGGGGGATTGGAGTGGTTGGGATGGGGGATTGGATGGTTGGATGGGGGAATTCGTACGTGCTGGGATGGGGTTGGAGTGGTTGAGGGGATTGGAGCTGGCTGGTATGGGATTGGAGTCGTTGGGATGAGGATTGGAGTGGTTGGGATGAGGATTGGAGTGGCTGGGATGGGAGATTGGCTGGGATGGGGGAAGTTCACCTGGAGAGCACTTGGCCACCACTGCACCAACACCCATCCTTGCCCAGCCCAGAGGGGTCTCTCCTGGGCAGATCCCCCTCTCCAAACCCCTCCCAAAACCCACCTCTAGCCCTGACCCCACCAACGTGGATCCTTCACACCCATTTCCCAGTTCAAACGACACCATGGCAAAGCTGAGCCTTGCACAGCTCTGGCTGTGAAGGTCCCAGACGCCAATTCCAGCCCAGAATTCCCGGGAGAAGGCAGGATCCCTCCCTGCAGGCCTCTCACCTTCTTCGCCACGTGGCACATCTGCTCGGCCGGCAGGTAGTCGAAGGGGAAGACGAACCTCCAGTTGAAGTTGCCCTCTCCCCCCATGGACCTGTAGTGCACGTCTGTCTTCTGCTTGTTCTCCTCGTGCCCCACCAGCCACCTGCAAAGCACAGACAGAGCCCGTGGAAAACCGGGAACGCGCCGAGGATTCGGGAATTCCCGGCACAAAGGGGATGTTCCTCATCCCTGCTGGGATTCCTTTTTCCCAGCTGAGTTCTGCAGCTGCTGGAGTTTTCACTTCCCTTTCCAGGGTTTCCAAGGTGCTCCCCACTCTTAGGTCTCTACGTGTCCATACTGTCATGGGAGCATCCAAGACATCCAAAGGAAAATGAGGTCTTCAGGCAGTTCTGAGCCCAGTGAGGACGTGCCTTCCAAAAAAAATGGATCTGCCCATGAAGGGGTTTGGATCCATCCATGGAGAGGTTTGGATCCATCCATAGAGAGGTCTGGATCCATCCATGGAGAAGGGTGGATCCATAGTTGGAGACAGGTGGATCCATCCGTGGAGAGGTTTGGATCCATCCATGGAGAAGGGTGGATCCATGTCTGGAGAGGGGTGGATCCATCCATGGAGAGGTTCGGATCCATCCATGGAGAGGTCTGGATCCATCCACGGAAAGGGTGGATCCATAGCTATAGAGTTTTGGATCTATTTATGGAGAGAGACTGATCCATCACTGGAGAGGTTTGGATCCATTCATGGAGAGATTTGGATCCCTTCATGGAGAAGTTTGGATCTATCCATGGAGAGGTTTGCATCCATCCAGGAAGAGGGTGGATCCATCCATGGAGAGGGTGGATCCATCCATGGAGAGAGGTGGACCCATCATTGAAGAGGGGTGGATTCATCCCTGGAGAGATTTGGATCCCTTCATGGAGAAGTTTGGATCCATCCATGGAGAGAGGAGGATCCATCATTGGAGAAGTTTGGATCCATCCATGGAGAGAGGAGGATCCATCCATGGAGAGAGGAGGATCCATCCATGGAGAGGGTGGATCTATCCATGGAGAGGGTGGATCTATCCATGGAGAGGGTGGATCCATCCATGGAAAGAGATGGATCCGTCCCTGGAGAGGTGTGATGGTTCATCCCAGCAGGATCCACGTCCATCCCAGCAGGATCCATGTCCATCCCAGCAGGATCCATGTCCATCCCAGCAGGATCCCTGCCCACCCCCGCCATGTTGCTCCAAGCCCCGTTTTCCCCCTTTCCCGCTGTTCCTGCTCCGGGCTCCCCGGGGCAGGAGGACTGACCCTTTGACGTAGATGTCGCTCATCTTCTCCCCGGTGATGCTCAGGTCGTCCAGGATCACGTCCCTGGTGTTCCAGATGATGCAGCGCAGGTAGAACCTGGAGAACCCGGAGAACCCGGGGACAGCCGGCGTGAGCAGCTGGGAACCTCAGTCCCATGCCACGAGCTGTCATTCCTTGGGAATGATCCCAAATGGGAACCTCCATTCCATCCCACCCGGGTAGCCAGTCCTGCCACCAGCTCTCATTCCTTGGAATGATCCCATATGGGAACCTCCATTCCATCCCACCCGGGCAGCCAGTCCTGCCACGAGCTGTCATTCCCTGGGGATGATCCCAAATGGGAACCTCCATTCCATCACACTCAGGCAGCCAGTCCTGCCACGAGCTGTCATTCCCTGGGAATGATCCCACGTGGGAACCTCAGTCCCTTCCCACCCAGGCAGCCAGTCCTGCCATGAGCCATCATTCCCTGGGGACAATCCCACGTGGGAAGGTGAATCCCATCCCACCCAGGCAGCCAGTCCTGCCCCGAGCTGTCATTCCCTGGGGATGATCCCACATGGGAACCTCAAGCCCTTCCCACCCAGGCAGCCAGTCCTGCCACCAGACGTCATTCCCTGGGAATGATCCCATATGGGAAGGTGAATCCCATCCCACCCAGGCAACCGGTCCTGTCACCAGCCGTCATTCCCTGGGAATGTTCCCACATGGGAACCTCAGTCCCTTCCCACCCAGGCAGCCAGTCCTGCCATGAGCCATCATTCCCTGGGAATGATCCCATATGGGAACCTCCATTCCATCCCACCTGGGAAGCCAGTCCTGCCATGAGCCATCATTCCCTGGGAATGATCCTACATGGGAATCTCAGTCCCTTCCCACCCGGGCAGCCAGTCCTGCCACGAGCCCTCATTCCCTGGGGATGATCCCACATGGAAAACTCAGGCCCATCCCACTCGGGCAGCCAGTCCTGCCACGAGCTGTCATTCCCTGGGGATGATCCCATATGGGAACCTCAGTCCCTTCCCACCCAGGCAGCCGGTCCTGCCACCAACCATCATTCCCTGGGAATGATCCCACATGGGAACCTCAGGCCCATCCCACTCGGGCAGCTGGTCATGAGCCATCATTCCCTAGGGACAATCCCACATGGGAAGGTGAATCCCATCCCACCCAGGCAGCCAGTCCTGCCCCGAGCTGTCATTCCCTGGAGATGATCCTATACGGGAAGGTGAATCCCACCCAACCTGGGCAGCCGGTCCTGCCCCGAGCTGTCATTCCCTGGGGATGATCCCACATGGGAATGTGAATCCCATCGCACCCGGGTAGCCGGTCCTGCCACGAGCCCTCATTCCCTGGGGATGATCCCACATGGGAACTTCAGTCCCTTCCCACCCGGGCAGCCGGTCCTGCCACCAGCCCTCATTCCCACATGGGAACCTCCATTCCATCCCACCCAGGCAGCCAGTCCTGCCACCAGACGTCATTCCCGGCGAGATGATCCCATACTTGGGGAATCTCAGTCCCTTCCACCCGCAGCCGGTTTCATGCACACAACTCTCATTCCCTGGTATACGCGAGTGCATGGGAGGTGAATCCCACCCAACCCGGGCAGCCAGTCCTGCCACCAGCCATCATTCCCTGGGGATGATCCCACATGGGACGGTGAATCCCACCCCCCCTGGGGACGATCCCACGTGGGAAGGTGAATCCCACCCCCCCTGGGGACGATCCCACATGGGACGGTGAATCCCACCCCCCCTGGGGACGATCCCACGTGGGAAGGTGAATCCCACCCCTCCCGGTTCCCCAAAGAGCAGGGGCTGGACCCTCATCCCCCCCGGGAAGTGCCCAGTTACCTCTTGGCTTTGCGGGGGCTGATGTTGAAGGGGGGCCCGGGATGCCCCAGGGATTTGGGGAACAGATCCACCCACATCTGCAGCTTTCCCTGCGGGGAGAGAACAACCCATGGAGCCCGAGGAGCCTCCGAGCTGGGCCACCTCGGTGACAACCAGAGGGGGACAGAGAGGGAACCCCACGTGCTCCAGAATTCCTTGGATGGGAGGGAAGGATTCCCTCATGGAAAAGTGTCCTTAAATAAGATAAAATAAAATAATATAAAAGAGCATAAAATAAAATAAAATAGTATAGACTACGACAGAATAAAATATAAAAAAATATAAAATAAATAAAGTAAAATAATAAAATAAAATAAACTAATGTAATATAAAAGAGGAATAAAATAAAATATTATAGGAATACAATAGAATTAAATTTCAAAAATATTAAAATAAAATAAAAATAAAATAAGATTAATAAAATAAATAATATAAAAGAGAAGAAAATAAAATAGTATTAGATACATAGAATAAAATAAAATATAAATAAATATAAAATAAAAAATAAAATAAATGAAGAAAAATAAAGATAAAATTAAATATTATAAAGATAAAAATAATATAAAGAAAAAAATAAAATAAATACAATAAAAATTAAAATGAAATAAAATAAAATAAAATAAAATGAAATAAGATAATTAAAATAGAATTAATATAAAAGAGAATAAAATAAAATAAAAAACAAAATAAAATAATAAATAAAAAATTAATATTAAATAAAAAAAATGAAATATGTATTAATTGAAGATAAATAAAGATAAAATAAATTTAAAATATAAAAATATTAAAATAAAGATAAAATAAAGTTAAATAAAATGAATAATATAAAAGAGAAGAAAAATAAAATTAAAAAACAAAATAAATAAAATAGTAGTGAGAGATGAAGAGATAGAAAGAAAATAAAAATAAAAATTAAGATTAAATAAAATAAAGAAAAAAATAAAATAAAGATTACAATTAAAAATAGAATAAAATAAAATAAAAATAAAATAAATAATAATTAAAGATAAATTTCAAAACGTGAGCACAGTTGCAGGGGTTTGGAATCTGTCCCCCCTGTCCCCCTGCCCCATTCCCCTAGGATGCCAGGCTGCAGGGGCTGCAATCCCATTCCCACCTGAGGGATGCCAGGCTGCAGGGGGCTGCAATCCCAATCCCAATCCCATTCCCACCTGAGGGATGCCAGGCTGCAGGGGGCTGCTCAGCCGCCGCGTCTCCACGTGCTCGGGCACCAGCCCCTGCTCCCGCAGTGCCAGCAGTGCCAGCCGCTCCTCCACCGGCCCCAGGTGCGGGTTTGGGGCCTTCCCGTCCTCTGCCAAGGGCAAAGAGCAGCGGGAATGGCTTTAGGATGGCTTTGGGGTGGCTTTGGAATGGCTTTGGGATGCCCAGGGATCACCAGCAGCCTCGGGGAGAGGGGCAGAGCCTCCGTTCCCAAACCCACCACCACAAACCCCCCTGGGCACAGCTGGGCCACCCCACAGCCAAGTCCCATTCCCCTGCCCTTCTCCCATGAGCAAACCCCCCCCAGATGGGAGAGGGACCTGCTGGGAGCCTCATCCAACCACCCCAAACCAGGGCAGGGGGACAGCACAAGGACCAGGCTGAAGGACATGGAAAGGAGACCCCAGGCTTGGATCCCACTCTGGGGTTCAGAGCTCCTGAAGCCACAGGAATTGGGGTGCAGGGTCCCCAGCAGCCCCCCGGCCCACACTGCTGCTCTGCTGACATTCCCACCCCCACCAGAGGGTTATCCCATCATTCCAACCCATCCAGGGTCTTCTCCTGGGCAGAGGAATGAGCTCCCAAGAGGATCCCATTTCTTCTCTGCTGGGTTGGGGATGAAAGACAGAAAGGAGAGGGGGAGGAAGGCCCTGGAGACACCACCAGCACAGCCTGGTGGCTGATCCTGCTTCCTCTTCCACCCCAGTCCCTGCTCCACCCCTCCCTGCTCCCACTGGGATAGCTGTGGTCCTGCAAGGGAACGGGCCAGGACGTGGCAGCCACGGTGGATGATTCCACCTGGAAGCATCTCCTGCTCCTCACCTGCTCCATCCATCCATCCATCCACCCATCCATCCACCCATCCATCCATCCATCCCTCCATCCACCCATCCATCCACCCATCCCTCCATCCATCCACCCACCCATCCATCCATCCATCCACCCATCCATCCATCCCTCCATCCATCCACCCATCCATCCCTCCATCCATCCTTAATGATCCTGGGATTTCACGATCCCAAAGCTCTTTCCCAGCCTAAAAGATTCCCTGGTTCTATGAATCCAAGCTGGATGATTCCAAGTGCCAGGCTGGGGAGGGAGCAGGACCTCACCCCAACCCTGCTGCCCTTCCAGGACCTTGGGCATGAAATGTTATCCCATAAACGCTATCCCATAAACGCTATCCCATAAACGCTATCCCATAAACACCATTCCAGCTCTGCCAGACCCAGGTGACACATCCCAGCTCCTTTCCTGGCAGAGTGCTTCCCTCCAGCCATCTGGGCTCCATCCCAGCCATTCCCAGGCACTGGGCAGCTGGAGTGTGCACAGGGGGGGTGCTGAGACCGGGGGGGGCAACCAGCCCCCCTTGGGAACTACAGCTGGGAATTGTGGGATGAGGGGTTGGGGAGTGGGATGAGGGGCTGGGGAGTGGGATGAGGGTCCAGGGGGGGTGTGGGATGAGGGAACAGGAGGGGTGTGGGATGAAGGGTCAGGGGGCTGTGGGATGAGGGGTTGGGGAGTGTGGGATGAGAGTCAGGGGGTGTGGGATGAGGGGCCAGGGGGTATGGGATGAGGGTTGGGGGTTGTGGATGAGGGCTGGGGGGTTGTGGGATGAGGGGCTGGTGGTGTGCTGGGATGAGGGTCCAGGGGGCTGTTGGGATGAGGGAACAGGGGGTTGTGGGAGGGAGGCTGTGGGATGAAAGGCTGGGAGTTGTGGGATAGGGGTTGGGGGTTTGATGAGGGCCGGGGTGTATGGCGGATGAGGTTTGGGGGGTGTGGGATGAGGGTTGGGTTGTGGGATGAGGGGCCAGGGGGTTGGGATGAGGTCGGGGGTGTGGATGCAGGGTCGGGGGGTTCTGGGATGAAGGACTGGGAGAGTGGGGGATGATGGGCTGGGGTGTGGGATGAGGGAACAGGGGGTTGGGGATGAGGGCGTGAGGGGCTGTGGATGAAGTCAGGGCACTGATGGATGAGGGCGTTGGAGGGTGCTGCGGATGAGGAGTGGGGGGCTGTGGGATGAAGGGCTGTTGGTATTGTTGGGATGAGGGGCCAGGGATGTTGGGATGAGGGTTGGGGTGTTGGGCATAGGCTGAGGGTTCTGGGATGAAGAATCAGGGAGAGTAGTGCGGATGAGGGGCCGGGGGGGTCTGTGGGATCGAGGGGTGTGGGATGAAGCTGTGGGGGGTTGTGGGATGATGGGGCTGAATTGTGGATGAGGGGCCGGGGGGCTGTGGATGAGGGGTGAGGGGTGTGGAGAGGGCCAGGGGTGTGTGAAGGCTGGGTTGTGGGTGGAAGACCAGGAGAGTGGTTGGGATGAGGGCCGGGAGGGGTTGTTGAGATGAGGGGCTGGTGGTGTTGTGGGATGAAGGGTGGGGGTTGTGGGCTGAGGGGCTGGTGGTGTTGTGGGCTGAGGGGCCGGGGCAGACGCTTGTAAAAGCCCTGCTGTGGTTTCCTGGCCCAGCCCAGCCCAGCCCAGCTCACAGCTGGTTCCCAGATCTCCTCCAGGTCAAGCTCCACACTTTGTTCTGCTCTTTGAACTCGCTGCCATTAAAGCAGAGGAAGGTGAAAGGCAGGGGGTGGCACGGGGGGGGACCCGCTGCTCCAACACCTCCCCAGCCCCAGCTGAAAACCCCCTGCTTCCCTCCTCCTCCTCCTTTCCTCCTCCTCCTCCTCCTCCTTCTCCTCTTCCTCCTCCTCAGGGAGAACCAGGAACTTAGACCTCGATTCCCAAGAGCAGGAGAGGGATCAGTGCTGGGCTGTGCCCTGTTTTGTGCCTCTGACGACCCCCTTGATGTGGTGGCCCCAATACTGCCACATTAAAATTTGACAGGGGATATTGGGAAGGAATTCCTGGCTCTGAGGGTGGGGAGGCCCTGGAATAAATTTCCCAGAGAAGCTGTGGCTGCCCCTGGATCCCTGGAAGTGTCCAAGGCCAGGTTGGAGCAGCCTGGGCTGGTGGAAGGTGTCCCTGCCCATGGTTAAATGGGATGATCTTTGAGGTCCCTTCCCACCCAAACCATTCCATGATCCCCCCAGGACCTAAACACCCCTTTTATGCCTTAAAGCAGAGTTTTCTCACAGAGGCAACTCCTGCCCCAAGGGTGTGGGTCAGAGGGGCACCAGGTGATGCCCAGGGTGGTCAAAGGGTCAGCGTTGGTGTGGTCAAGGGGTGGTTTTTGTGCAAACAACAAAGCACCTCCCCAGGTCTGGTCTACCCAGATAGGGTAGAGGTTGGTTTTGCCCTTCCAGCTGCCCCCTGAGCCCTGAGGTGATCCCTGGGCACCGTGTGTGTGATCCTGTCTCCATCTAGTGACCCAAAACGAGATTCCAATGGCACAGCTGGAACATCAGGCTGGAGCTTCTCAGCCCAGGATGGACTTCAGAGCTCCCACAGCCCAGGGAAGTCACCCAAGGTCAATGTTCCTGTGGCTGCACTGCAGGTCTGGTTCAATCCCAGGGTTTGGGGCACGGCCAAGCCTGGGAATGGTGCAGATCCAAGCTGGCCAGGGAGGTGGGGAGGATGGGGATGTGCCCACCAACCTGTTCTGGCCTCCATGGTACCCCCCCATGAGCTCTGGATGAAGGAAACCCCGCTCTCCCAAAAGCTCCCAGTGCCCTTACCCTGCTCAGACAGGACGTACTCCTGATCCCTGAAGATGATCCGGTCGGATTTGTAGGTGGGAGCCTTGTGGTTGTGCTGCAGGGAGAAGAGGTGGAGCAGCTGGGAAGGGCGGAGCTGGTCCCGCCACTGGTTGGGCCCGGAGCTGAAACCAAACAGGACCGCGGAATTATGGAACGGGTCGGGTTGGAAAGGCCTTCAAAACCATCCAGTTCCAGGGGCAGGGGACACCTTCCACCATCCCAGGCTGCTCCAGACTGGCCTTGGACACTCCCAGGGATGGGGCATCACCACCTTCCCCGGGCAGGCTGTGCGTGGGGAGCGTCCCCAGCTCAGTGTGCCCGGGACACACCGGGGGTGTGACGGGATCTCCCTGAGGATTTCCGTGTTATTTACCCCATTTGGGGCTCCTGGAGGAGAACCAGCACTGAGGGAAGTGTAGGTGCCCCTGGTGCCCCCCTGGTGCCCCCCCAGAGCCCCCCAGCCCGGTACCCACACGCAGTATGTCTGGGGCAGCCCGCAGCGCGCCCCGTAGCGCGACAGGAACCGGTTCTCCAGGTCGATGACGGTCTCCCCGATCTTCTCGTCCTTGGACAGCAGGTCGTAGTCGTACAGGGCCACCCGCAGGTCCTTCTCCAGGGGCAGGGTGCAGCTCAGCTCGAACATCCTGCGCGGGGTGGGGGACATGGATGGGATGGGGGAGCCCTGGGAGGGACCCACTGCCCATCCCAACAGCCCATTGGGATGGACCCACTCCCCATCCCAACACACCAGTGGGATGGACCCACTGCCCATCCCTACATCCCAGTGGGATGGACCCACTCCCCATCCCAACACCCCAGTGCCAGTGGGATGGACCCACTCCCCATCCAACACACCAGTGGGAAGGACCCACTGCCCATCCCAACACACCAGTGGGATGGATCCACTCTCCATCCCAACACACCAGTGGGATGGATCCACTCTCCATCCCAACATCCCAATGGGATGGACCCACTCCCCATCCCAACACCCCAGTGGGATGGATTCACTCCTCATCCCAACACACCAGTGGGATGGACCCACTCCTCATCCCAACACCCCAGTGCCAGTACTGTGTCGTGCTGGCTCAGTTTATCATGGAATCATGGAATGGTTTGGGTTGGGAGGGACCTGAAAGCTCATCCAGTTCCACGGGCAGGGACACCTTCCACTACTCCAGGTTGCTCCAACCTGGCCTTGGACACTCCCAGGGATCCAGGGGCAGCCACAGCTTCTCTGCCCAACCTGGGACAGGGTCTTTCCACCCTCCCAGTCAGGAATTTCGTCCCAATATCCCATCTAAACTCATCTCCCTGTCCATCCTGCTTTGCTGGGAAGGTGTCACCGGCAGCCTGAACTGGCAGGAACTGCCTCAGGAAACCATGTTTATGGATAACTCTTTTCCAAGGCATCCCACTTGGAGGTGTCCCGTCCCACAGCCCCAAACAGGTCTCCATCCATCCCATTTTTCCTCCAGACATCCAACCAAATTCCCTAAACGAGGAGCAGAAGTTCCCTGGACTCCCTCTACCACCGGTGGGACGGGGATTATTCCTCCCCGAGGGAATTCCAGGTCTAAACCACCCTCCTGGTGTGTCCATTGACGACGGAGCAGAGCCAGTTCCACAGCTCGGAATTCCCAGGGAGAAGACGAACAAGAGCCAAGGGAATCGTGGAATGGTTTGGATGGGAGGAACCTTAAAATCCATTGGGATGGGAGGAACCTCAAAATCCATTGGGATGGGAGGAACCTTAAAATCCCTCTAATTCCACCCCCTGCCACGGGCAGGGACACCTTCCACTATCCCAGGTCGCTCCAAGCCTCATCCAGCCTTGAGTGCAGGTTGGAATGGGAAGCTCTGGCTCATCCAGCACAATTCCCTCGACGTGACACAAAAAAAATCCCCTGGATCCCAAAGTGACTCCACACTCACTTCCCAAAGACAGGCTCCAGGGTGCAGGGCAGGTAATTCTCCTGGTCGCTGATGGATTTCTTTCCCACGGAAATCTTCACGTAGGGATCGCACTGAGGGGGGGG